CTGTGTTATCAACACTGCTTTCAGCGCAAATCTGAACCATAGCCCCATACTAGCTACTATGAAGAAAATAAACTCTATCCCAGCCCAAACTAGCAGGCAACCCCATGCAACACTACTGGTTCAAGGAAGATGGGCTGGAAAACTGAATGATGGAAAAGGACCTGGAAGTGTTGGTTGACAGCTGACTGAACATGAACCGGCAGTGTGCCCAGGTGGCCTGGAAGGCCAACAGCATCCTGGCCTGTATCAGCAATAGTGTGGCCAGCAGGAGTAGGGAAGTGATCGTGCCCCTGTACTCGGCACTGGTGAGGCCGCAGCTTGAATCCTGTGTTCAGTTTTGGGCCCCTCACTACAAGAACACTGAGGTGCTGGAGCGTGTCCAAAGCGATGAAGCTGGTGAGGGGTCTGGAGCACAAATCTTATGAGGGAACTGGGGTTGTTCAGTCTGGAGAACAGAAGGTTGAGGAGAGACCTTATTGCTCTCTACAACTACCTGAGAGGAGGTTGTAGTGTGGTGGGTGTCGGTCTCTTCTGCCAGATAACAAGTGATAGGACAAGAGAAAACGGCCTCAAGTTGCGCCAGGGGAGGTTAAATTGGATTATCAGGAAAAATTTATGCACTGAGAGGGTGATCAAGCACTGGAACAGGCTGCCCAGGGAAGTGGTTGAGTCACCATCCCTGGAGGTATTTAAAAGATATGTAGATGTGGCGCCTAGGGACATGGTTTTGTGGTGGACTTGGTAGTGTTAGGTTAATGGTTGGACTCGATGCTCTTAAGGGTTTTTTACAGCCTAAATGATTCTATGATTCTAAGTTTCTTTAACATGCCTTTTCTTTATAAAGACAGAACTTCCTGATTGTTGATTCTGCTTATAAAAAGTCAGACAACAAGGCTCAGTGCTTTTTGACAAAGATTTTGAAGCAAAAATACATAGATTTCAAATGGAAAATCTGTGCAGAGCAGTGCACCTGAACAAGGAAACCATTTTTGGGAAGGAGGAATCAGACATAGAAGCCAACAATGCCTCCGCTAACAAATAAGTTAAGTCTAACAAATCTGAGCAATCTGTACATTCAACCAAGGGAACAAACCAAACCCTGCCATCCAATACCATATCCAGAAGGGCTATCTTTTCAACAGATTAAAATAACTTTGCAGACGCTGCAATGAATGGAATTACTTGACCACTTACTAAAACCATTACCTAGTAAGAAAATCCATCACAAAAGGTTATTGCATTCTCAAACACTGTCATCAATGCCAGCATCTTTAGACATAAGAACACAAGCTCTCATCTGGCAGATGCCACCTGGAGCCCTGGGAATCATATCCAATTCTCTCACCATCTTAATAAATCCCACTTTACACGGAAGAAAAGCACTGTTCCTGTTTGCATGGGGGTGGATCAATTGCAGGGTCTTTCTCCAGGACAAGTGCTTCAATTTTGCTTGGCATATTTTTTTTTTTTTTTTTAGCTTAAACCATCTGTCATTTATTTTAAATGAGAGCCCAGAGTGCTTCAGTAAGAGTTCCTGAAAGGGATTTTGGGAGATGGAAGTTTTCCATTTGAAATTCAAAAGGGTCTGACGTTACCCAAGCTGATGGCTGGGATTGTCTCAACGGGAAGGAGCAAGAGCAAAGCTCAAAGCTTCTGCAGCTCTTTCCAGGTCCTGCTGAGATGAAGGTACCACCAAGCACTTTTACCACAGGGCTGTAACAACTCAAGGCTGGAAGAACAGCAAAACACTATCAGGTGGAAACTGTCCATGAACAGTGTACATCCGAGACAGATAGTCCCCACAACAGCTAGTTGGCATATTTGCGCTGCAAACCACCACACAACTCCCTGAGCTAGTGGAGATACAACTTCATAAATCAGGACAGGAAAAATGTGGCTCCGATTGACCCGACAACGTTTTGGTTCAGGAACCATACAGCCGCGTTTCCATGGTATTGCACTTCAGCTTGTAAGGTGTAGTAAGTCTGTACAGGAAGGATTTTCATTTTGGGGAAGGCACCTCAGAAACAAATTTGGGGGCGTCTGGCTTGGCTGCTAGTCCAAGTTTACAGGCCTCTGTCAGCAGAGTAGACATGTCTTAACATAAGCAGCTAAATTCAGAAGTTAAATAAAAGGTGCCATTTTGAGAAGAAATTCCAAACAGAAAGAGGCCACGAGAATATACCAATGGCAAGGAAAATGCCGACAATGTTGGAGAAAGCTCTTAGAACAGGAAAGGGGGACAGTCTTTTACAGTGCAAGAGCCTAATTCAGGTGAGTAAATAAGATGAATAGTAATTTGCAGTTAAAAGAAAAATGTACTTCTAGTTACATTTGAAATTACAGCAACATATGTTGAGCCCTAAATGTACTATAATCTATTGTTAAGAAACTGTCAAGTAGTTTTTAAAGAGAACTGGGACATAAATCTAGAATTACCATGAAGTGTGTAGAATCTGTTTGTGCTGAACTGGTAAAACTCACTTGCAATGCTGATAGCTTTGTTTGCAGGTACTGAGAAAACCCATTTTATTCCATTTAACAGCAATTTCTCTAATTAATTTGCAATTAATTCAATACTGATGAACATACTAGGAATCTTATTCTTTCCTGGCAAAGAAGCAAGAACCGCCCTGTGAGAGGATGATGCCATAACCGATCATGATTTAAATTTTGCATAACCTGGCACTATCTGGTTATGTTTAACTCAAGAGTATTTTCTTCAGCCAAGGTGAGAAGCAGTACTGGAGAAAGCAAAACTGGTGGGGTTTTTGTTGGGTTTTTTTGTTGGTGGTTTTTGGTTTTTTTTCAGGACAGCAGCATCAACACAGAGTCATGAACAACAGCCTGAAACTTATTCGTTTTGGGATCAGAAAGGACAATGACCAGAAATCTCAGCACAACTCACTAACTACATAAGATATCTCATTTATTTAATCAGTTAATTTTAAATTAATAACATTTGTTAACTTTTTGCATATGTATGCAGCACATTCAGCATAATTTTACATAACTTGTAACTTTAAAGTGTTGCATTTCATTACTATCAAAATGCAGTTTGACACAAAGTGAGGAGAAAAAAAACAGGAAACAAATACCAGTCAGCATTTCCACCATCATAACGTAAAAAATTAGAAATCTAAGTAATTGTCTAACAAGCTGTAAAGTTGTTTAAATGTGAATACAGTGAATTTTTACGGCTAATCAGAAGGAAGAACCAAATATAATGTGAAAGCTGTATCTAGTTGCAAATCTGAATTTTAAGGGTTACAAATTGAGGAGAATCAACCTTTCAACAAAAATCTCTGTCTACCACTTACAATAACTGATTAAGTGAACTGTTTAGCCTGTATTGCTTCAAACAGCAACTTCATATAAACTTGATACCCACACTTGAAACAAAGTATAGAAATTGCAAAGCTTGAGACAGTAAAATGCGAACTGTAGAATAACAGTTTTAAGACTCTTTAAAAAGAACTCCATACTGAAGAAGCAGCCAGGAAAATGCTTTAGAATTCTTATTTAGCGTGTATATTTCTCAAGTTACTGGGTAAAAAAAGCAAGGATTTCAGAACCCTATATACTAGGTGTATAAATATTCCTATTATAGGCCCCAAAGAATTAAGCCATGAACCCTGTAGAAGACTTACACACATGACAAATTCGAGGTAATTTGTCTAAGGAACAGGCAAGAGAAGCTAGCTAAGCTCTGAAATTATCATTACCTGGTGCAAGGGAACACACACACACTCCCCCCGCTAACAGGGACATCAGATTTTTCCTAGAGCCACAAATAGACAGCAACTGAATTCTGCCCAAACTCAGTAATAAAAATCTTGACAAGACAAAGCAGTTACGCATAAAAAGGTAATTTAGCATCAGTTTACCCACCCCAGTGTTTAACTATAATTAAGTGTTTTATAATGACAAGTTTTGATTCACAATGTAAATGGCTTTTGAAACTATGCAAGGAGAAATAGTTACAGTAGTAATTTGTGAAACAGTATCAAAAGAACATCAGGCACAGACTAAATTCCTTCATTTGCCCCTCCGCACACCAGGTGAGAGTTTCCAGGAATACCCATCTTTTTTTAACCTTCTAAGAAAACACCTAGGCAATTTTAACTGTCTCACACAGGACTCTGTCAGTAGCATATGACAGGAATTTTTTTTTAGTCAAAACTCTAAATTAAGGGGAATTCTGAAACAAGCTTGGCCATTGACATATGGAAAGGCACAGCTCAAGGCAAACTATACCATGGTAGTCAAAACACAAATAAAAGAAGGTGTGCAGATGAAAGCAAGTCAAAAGACGAATGGCACCTGAAGGAAGAATGGAAAAAGGCAACTTTCTTCCTCCTGAGCTCCCCACCCCCTACTTCACTACTTCAGTCCTTCTGAAGGCATTCTGCAAGTAGCTCATTATAGGACTCACTTTAAAATTCAATCCGAAACAGAAACAAAATATTTTGTTTAAACTATATGACTTCATATATTCATTAAAATACTCCACTTTAAAGGCAGAGCTAGGTAAATATTCTTCAGGTGATGGCCTGCAGAATAATTGCATCCGAAACACTGCAGGTTACAGTATAGCCTTGCATTAAGACCTGAAATTAAAGCAAAGGCTGATACCTCAACACATGTCAAATATTTCCTAGTACATCTGCAGAGGCCACTTGGCCTTGTGGCCAGCAACCATGCTTAGGCAGGATGGTTGCCATCTGCGACTGAAACAAGTACCCAAAGCACATTCGTTCCTCAGGCCCTTCCTGACCAAAAAACCCTATATGCCTCAGGCATTGTTCACCAAAAAAATACAAATAATCAAAGCCTGGTATTTGTCTGGTATTGTGATTACAGAGTAGCAATGGGGTAATATTAATAAATCAATCTATCCCCAAAAACCAACTTACAGTTAAATATATTACGAATTGAGCGCTTAACATATCAAAAGTTCAGAAATATCATACCGCTTCAAAAGAGTCACAGCCTATCAGTATAAAGGAAGAATATAAAACTATTTTATTGACCACTGTTCACCAGTATTTACAATAAAGTAAACAATATACAGTCTGATAACATTCAAATTACTACAAAGTTAGTTTTCACCTGGTCTTCTTGGGACCAAGTGATCCCAAATACTAAAAAGAATGATTCTACAGGTTTAAAGGGCTAGGTTTGGGTAAAGAAGATACATGCACATCAATAGTATAGAAGACTACAAAACATCTGTGAGTTTGTTTAGACATTCATTATGATTCTGTAATAACTATGGAAGTTTATGAATGTTTTATAAAAGCTTTTACCTAATATGGAGGAAGTAGTAGTATCAAATGCTCTCTTGTGATAAATGAAACAAGTTGCAGAAAGCTTTTATTTACTTGCTGTTGATGCAAAACATACTACTTCAAAAAATATCAAATTTGATTCTTGTTAGAATGTATGCTTCTCACATTGCTAATAAATCAAATTTCAGGTTTTAATATTCATATATATAAAAAAGCAATGCAAACAATTATTGTGCTTCATCTTCTGGGCATGAATGCCAAGTTAGTCGCTCTTCATAAAAAGCAATTACAATCTGAGGACACTTCACGTTAGCTTCTTTGGCCAGCACCAGATCTGCCTCATCAGAGTCTTTCCTAATGTAGAAAAGAGCGGGAGTTAAGAAAATGCATAATCATTAATTCAGTAAATTTAGCAGCTCTCGATCGCTCATAAATTCTGAAAAGAACATCAGCTAGCAATCAGTTTTCAGCGTACCTTTCACCACAACTACCAAGCATTTCCACGCTAATGGCATGGTTTCATAGCTGTATCTTCCTTCCTTTCCCATGTGCTTTTTTTTTTTTGCTTGAAAGGAAAATGCTATTCAAAGGGAACCACTTATATAGTTACCTTATTGCAGTATGTAACAGAAGTAGTAAAACTTTGCTAATTTTGACTTTTAAAGCATAATCAGAACTTCAAAGTGAGACTTTTAAAAATCAGTAGCATCAGTCTTAAGACGTGGTACTTACATCCAAATTATATTTACTGTTTATGCAAGTAACTTCTTGTATTTCATACTGCTATTCTTGATGCTGTCTTGCATTAATAAAAAAACCCAAAACTTCCCAGTCTGACATGCTTCAGATTCCATTTTAAAACATATGCTGCCTTTAGAAGTCAGTTTTGTGCATACATATTCATATCTATGTTTGTTGCCTACAATCAGTTATGAAAAACTCATCAATACCTTCTTTTTGTACGTTTCCTCTGTTTGATTTTGCCAATTATCACTACAGAAATTCAAATAGTCACAGTCTATATTTTACAACTCCTCTAAGTTTCACATAATATTTATACAGAATTTGAAAAGGAAGAAGGGAGACAGAATCTTCCAAAGCAGTCATCTTCAGCAGTCCACGCACATCACAAGACAAAATTTTTTTCTGGAGACCACTCAGTTTGACTCTATTCAGAAAATCATGCCCTTCTCAAAGGCTGTGGAAAGCCATCATTCTTATCCCACCACCATAAGAAATCTGACGCCCAGCAAATGTTAATTCAGTCTCTTGTATTCTCAACACTGGAAAAAACCCACTATCTCACCCTACTTCTTCACAGGGCAAGAAGTCCTTCTGTCTACACCGTAGCTAATGAAGCTGGTCTCCCTCCATCCTCCCAACAACACAAACTCCCCCCACTCTGCCCTCTTACTAGCCCATAAGGATAAACATCTCATTCATACTGTTTATTCTTCATTTCAACCTCAGTTTCCTCAAACTAGTAGCTCCTTCCAGTTCTCTATCTACTTGGTTGCACGCAGAACAACAGCTGGCACTATGGTTGGTTAAATGTTTGGCTACCCAGCAGCTGGCTTCTGCCTGCCATTCCCTCAACAAGAACACTGACAAGATCCAGCTTTTTTGTGCAAATGCCAGTTTTTCCATATTTTATCAGAATTTACCTTTCAAATTTCTACTTCTGTAAAACTGTACCAATAGAACCTAAAGTTATTTTGGGTTTGGAAGAAAGAGGGAATAAGTACTGATTATAGAAGCCTTGTTTTTCTAAGAATACAAGGTTAATAAGTAGACTACCAGCTGCTTCTCTGTCTTAGTCCTGAAATTAAGTTGTCCCATTAGCCTAAGTACAACTGCCTACCCTCCCTTAATATAGACAAGAACTGTGGATGTAAGACTTACCATTTCATGAGGAACATAAGCTCTCCACTGCTATCCGTAGCCCCAATTATCCGCTCAGGATCAAGACCCCTTGCAAACCCTCTTGGTTTATCAACCTATTGAGTAAGTTAGAAGACGGTTATCTAGTTTGAGATAAAATTCTATTTTGGCATTAGTGCTAGATACACACATTCTTGTACATATATATACATGTGTGTCTATCAGAACCAAAAATATAGCCCTACATTATAAAAGTTATAATTACATATAATTATCTGAAGATTACATCAATTTTATTTTTGCATGACTGATCTTCCGGCCAAGTCATTTAGATGTAGAGTAACAATGAAGGATTTTAGATCAACATTTCTAGCATCTATTTTTGAAAACTCAATAGATGAAAATAAGTGGTCTAAAATCATTATAAGTAGATAAACAAACAAGCATGACCAATAAAAGCAACAAAAAAGGCAAAGCAAAAATGCACTCCTGGAAGTGGGAAAAACACATCCTTTTCAGCAAAACAATAGGCTTGGGTTGGCTTAGGCCAACTGTGAAAATGCACCCTTGGTGAATATCTCAACTCTTCTTGGCTCGCTGAGATTGCATTGGTGGTAAGGAATATCACGTTTATTTCCTGTATTAGTTCATCTAGCTTCCCAGTATCCTTTTTTGAGTCAGTGGCCGCTACTGTACCAGATGAAGTCACACAATTGACTTCATACAGAAACTAAAATATTCTTTGTATTATTCATCAACTATTCTTTCTGATGCCTTCCAACTTTTTTGACAGTAACCACACACCCAACAGCTGTCTTCAGTAAACTACTGACGTTGCCAATGAGTTTTGTTTCAAATTGCTAGTTTGAAAATTTACAGAGGAAAATGTGAACTATTGAACACATTATTATACATGATTTTGTACTTATCAGGACTAAATTTGTCATGTTCTTCATTCATTTAAATTCCAGGAGAAACCCAGACCTTTAAGAAAAGGTAGGCTTTCTTCAGTCACCCTTGTTACTTGCTCTCCATCCTGTCTGGTCCTAATCTAAGTAACTGCCTGGTCTTTGTATTTTGACATCTTGCCACTCACCTATTTAAAATCATATACTAAACATGAAAGCCAAAACAGAACTTCATCTTTGTTCCATTCATGAACCTTTCTCTCCAATACAAACTGACCACTTAATATAATTCATAAGTAATTCTTAACCAGTCTTACTTTCAATTACTCAGTAAGCATCATGGGACAATGCAAGAACTTGCAGTCATCATGTCAATCAATCATCTTTTATCCACTATTTGGACAAGTCTCATTAACCACCATGAATGATTACCCGCTTCAAACCAGTTCCAGATGCTGTGCTATTTTTACAGTTTTAAACCCATGTTTGGTCTCATTCTTAAAGGCACAATAGGACTGGGGGGGCACATGGAGAGGTAGGGAAGGAAAAAGAGCTTAGCACATGAACATATACTTACAGAATCACGCTTTTTCTTTGATTTACTATCATCAGATTCGCTATCTGACAAAGATTTTCTTTTGGCACCGTCTATTTTTTCTTTACCAGCTTTCTGAGAGTTCAGAAAAGCTTCGATTAGCTCTGGACAATCTAAGTTTTCTTCGGGTTCCCATGTGTTGTCAGCACTGAAACATACACAAATTTATGTAAAACTAGGAAAAGAAAAAAAATGTAAAACTAGCCACATGGCTCACCGTAAGCAAGTTAATTTTTTTCTCATTATATAAGACAGATTTCTTAAACCTAAGGATGCTTATGTTGCCATCTTTAGTAACCTTCATGTACTGCATTTCATGACTGAAAAAATTATGGTCTGCTATTGTTGAAAAACAATGTTTTTACAGTAGCTTTATTAACTGCTGTGATCTGGATGGGATCACAGGAGTTAAAACAAGCAATCCCACCCTACCAAAACATACCTGTCTATTTAAACTGACTCCCTTCCCTGGTTCCTCTAAAGACTGTCCATGCAGAAAACCTAGATGATATGAGCACCAAGACTTACAGAGAACAAAATGTACATAACACTCACTACAAACAATGTAAGTATATAGGCCTAAGCTTCTATATACAAGGAATACTCTCCAAAGTTGTCTCTGAGTACTGAGACCTAGAACTCTCTCCCTCCTTCAGCTGAATACAGGAGGGAGCAAAGGTTCTACGTCCAGACCTGGGCACTACAGATGTTTCAGTGAGCATGCATTTTGTTAACTAAAATGTTAAGAAGTCCAGGAATGTTCCATATAACAACTAAGCACCTCATCAGAAGTCATAGTGCTACTGCACAAGCAGGATGCCTACAAATTATTTTCGGTTACTAAAACGTATTTTTACAACTTCTAATCAGACCCTTGAATACTAAACACACTGTGTTTTGGTTTTATGCACTTATCACTACACAGCTTTCAGGTGCTAGAATGCAGAATGTAGCAATGCAATCACTTTGGGAGGTATGCAATAATGTGACTACTTATGTTCAACTGCTAGGTGCATCACCTTTTTTCAGCTAGTAGTCTACCAGAAAGTGTCATGGGAGGGAGGGAGGAAGCACAACTATGTGCGTTCTTTAACAATCAACTTTTTAAGTCCACTGTAAGGTTTTCTTGTGCTTCCATAAGCCCTGGGAAAGAGACTCAAAAGATACCTTTCAGGTATGCCTAATGAAGGCAACCATGCCACAGAATTCCTTATGCAAATACATCTAATTTGAGAGCAGTTCAGAAAAGCGAATAATAAACAAACTATCTGCTTCAAATTCATTGCTTCAGAGCTGCTTGCAGTTTAAATCCCTGCAAAATTTCTTACTCAGAAGTAACATTTATTCCACCACACATATAACAACTGTGAGTCTAGCTTACCTTAATAGGTATTGACACAAGCTAAATCAAAGAACAGTAGTAAAAGAATGATCACTAAAGGCTTGGTAAAAGCCTTGGAACGTTTTATGTAATACAAACACTAAGCTATATATCTTCTATTTTATTTTCCTACTTTACTGGCCCACTTGAATATGCATTTATGGATGTCCTTCCTTTGAGGTTCTTTAAAACGTATCCCCATCATCCAATCCCCTCTCTGCATAGTTATTTCAAATAAATGGTTAGTACTTAGCATTCTATCAGAAAAATATAATAGGTAATGCCTTACTCTGTAAATCCTTTCCACTTCAAGTAGTATTCCACCTTTCCATTTACAACACGTCTGTCCAGGACTTTCTCCACAACAAATTCTTCAGGCTCTGCCTCTTCAACTTTTTTACCTTTGCCGTTCTGTTTCTTTCCCATTTTGTGCTACAAAAGGAATTGAGAATAGCATTGTTCATTCTTTTGCTTTACAGAGTTACTTGACTGGCCAAATCCAACTTTGCTCAGTAAACAGCAAAGAATCATGTACTTATTCACACTAAAGCCAGAATCTCAGACTCCTCTTACGTTAGTGCATGTGGTCAGGTAACCTGAGCAAGACATGTTAAATGTTTTGGGTTTTTTTCAGTTGCTTAATGAGATACCCAACAGCAGTTTTTAAAAAGGTGAAATATTTTTGTCCATACACTCAGTGCCTCCAATCCCCTTATAAATTTAATTCTCAGAGTGCTACATGCTCAAAAATTTATGAAGCTCCTGAAATTTAACTCTATGCCTGTGAAAAGGCAGAGGGTAAGAAACAGCATAAGGCGGAAATAAAGAAAAGTAATAAGGGAACTGTGAAAATGCATAAAATAGAAAAGGGATGCTACTCAAAAAAAGGTGGTTACCACCTTTTCCAAAGGAGAAGCTGATGGGAGCAAAGTTTATGATGTATTGCTACAATAAGCAAAATACTCAACAACAACCCATAACTATTGAACAGGATGCATGCTAGAAGCATTCCATTACTGCAGTCCCTTCTCATTCTTAGCCACGCACCGATGTACCTTACATTCAAACAAATGTCACAACGGTGCAAAACTTTAAGACAGCTACACTTAAGTACAGCACTTAACACGTAAATGAAATTTTGCTAACTTAAAAAACTTTATAAGTGTTTTAAGTTTACATTTGATACTTCAAATAATATTCTTTACGTTCTTACAATAAATATTACATCCACATCATCCTCAAGGCATTCCCAGTTTAATAAGGCATAATTAAATAGTAATAGAAGGACACATTTCAGAATTTCCTTGTTTGTAATCTTTAAAAGGTTGGAACAAGCCTATCATGTTGTCATATCACATTGCTGGAGCACTAGCAGACCAAAAGCAGTTTGCTTGCCATTTTGGACTGCACCTTATAAGGAAAAGTGGCAGCCATAAACTGATGGGAGCAGTATTAAGCTCCTAAAACACAGTCATGCAGCACCCCAAATCAAAGTGGACAGAACTAATTCCTCACTAATGTACTTCCTATAGAACAGAAAATAGAGAAGCAAAAATGACAGAGAGCTTCTATTTGCCTTGATAGCCTTTCTCTAGCCCTCTCTAGAATTAATTAAGTTTGAGAATACTGCAAAGCAATTTTGAAACTGTCAATTTTTTAAACTTTATAGAATTTTGCCTTGATATGGTGAAAAGGTAAAAAAAAGTATGTTAGACACATGAAAAACTGTCATCTTTTTGTAAACTGAAGATTTGAAGCCAATTCTTTCCTTCCAAAGCCCTTTGTACCCCTTATTTTTCATAATTAATTTTTCCCTCCCTCCCCAAAATAGCTTTACTCTGGTTAGCAATCGATTAACTGAAGGTGCAAGCAACGAAGATGAGGGAAAGTTTCAAGTTTGTCTTTCAAACAGCAAGTTTCTGTATATATCTCATGTGACATTTGTTTTTTTTGGAAGCATAGAAGAGAGATAATCTAAAACAGAGCATGTATTTCCAATTAGATTTTAATTGCCTGCATATTCCAGGTGTATTTTGACCACAGCATTCATGTCTGAAAAGTGTCAACTTAAGCACACTGGCTTTTTTTGCCTCCACAGTAGAAAGAATGTAAGACTGAAACTGAAGGAAAATAAAAACATGAGGATGTCCAACGCTTCTATGAAGGCAGCTTCTTTCAAGAAATGGAAGCATGAAAAAGAGAAACGGGTAGAGATGAAGAAAACAAAAAAAGAAGGGGGGGGGGGGGGGGGGAGAAAGACACAGACTCACTATACCATAGTAATAACATTATAATTACTGGTGATGAGGCAAGCAGGCTACAAGTGGGGAACATCTCCATCTTTGTTCTCCGTTGAACTAAAATTCTTTGATTCAGTGGAAGATTGTTTTCTGGTACTCTTTTCGGCTTCACTAATTCTTGTCACTTAAAGATAAATGGTTTGGATTTCTGTATCAAAGCAACATTTTTTTTTTTACTTTCTAAGACTTAAGTATCTATATCACCTTCCACAGAAGAAAATTAATGTCAGGGGAGGGTCTCTATTTTTTCCTGAAGTGCTGTGAGAAGTAATAAAATTGAGAGTACATTGCTTTTTGTTGTAAATATTAGAGATTTAATTAAATCTCATGTGCATCAGCACTGCTTTCCCAACGCTTGAGCCTTTCCAACCTATTAAAGTAATACTTGATTGTAGAGCCTGCAGAAATACTGGACATAAGTTAAAAACCTGTATATTTCTGAGATTACACAAGCCAATGTAAATCTCAGCCCAGAAGTGAATGTGGTACCTGACTGAAGTTAAAGGGTACTAAGTGTCCACTATATCCCTGAAGCTCCCTTCTCTAGGGATTCATGCTGTAAGCTGTAACTTGGGCGTTTGACCACTGAATGCTCATCTATGTCTTGTTTCCCTTTCTGCATTCAGAAGTCACATGACAGATGCAGATGCTCTCCAGTGGATAATGACCCTTTCTTTGAGGGGCAAGATTAAAACACTGATGTGACACTATGGTGAAGGGTTTTAACATACAAGAGGTAACAAAATTGGAATTACAGTTCCAGAGCTATGCTATCCCTTAATACATTTAGGTTTTGCATGCAAATACATAATGAAGCAGAATTAGTTATGGTTCCCATGGGAACCATAACTGATTTCCCTGACCTGTGCAGCAAAATTCTCAACAACATCAAAAGATTAAAAATACTGCACTCAGATTCTTTCCTCTCCCTGAGGCACCCCCTCCCCAGGCTGGCTAACTCCTCCTCTTCCTCAAATTAGGGAAAGTGGGCAACCAATTACTAACAGAAAGTTCAGACATTCATCTTGGTGAAATCTTTTATAGTAGTTTGTTATTGTACAATGCAAAGGAAGTACTCCATTGCACTTCTAAGCCAGGAGTTAAATAGAAGTTTCTAATGTATCTCGATCTGGGTCAACCACTAATCATTTCAGTAAATTTAAGAACAGGCCTTTTGAGCACATTATAAATCAGTTGTTCTGCTATCCAGATTTTGAACTGTATACATGTATTTTTGCTTACTTCCCCACCTCAACCTCAGATGCATCTCACGCTATACTTTTTCATTTCTGTCTTTCACAAAACTGTCTATCATTATCAGTTGAATGGTAACCAGCAACCAACTGCCCTCAGAAGTCCATATTTTAATGTCAAGCAAAGCTTTACAGGACTTGAGATCCATGAATGCATCATTAAAACGGTCCAGGAGGCGTTGACATCTGATAATCTCTACTCCTATGAAATTCAAACAAACTGTTATTTGTTAAAAATCATTTCAAAAGGCATCTTAACTATGCCACATCATTTCCCAATAATGTTATTTTTCATCTGTAAAGACTGTCTTTTTCTCAGGCAGTTAGTTTTCCCCAAATACACCAGGAGAAATTAAATGAATCCATGATTTAGATTGTATTTTTTACATATACAATGAATTACACGGTGTGCTGAAAGGAGGCTAAAAAAATCCTTAGTGTTTTCTACCATAGGACAGATGAAATAGTGCAGGGTCCTTTAATGTTTGGGTTTTTTTCCCAACAAGTCTCTTTAGAAATGGCAGATTTATTAAAGCCAAAGACAATGTCCTTTCTAGTAGCCTTACTTTCTGGATCTGAAATTTTGGTCAGAATAATGCTGGGGAGGGGAGATGTGGATGTATCTTTTAAATGGAGATGCCAAGTTATAAGTTTGAAGAAAAATATGTTGATTAAATCCTTATATACTTTAGGTGTGCATGAACTTACCAATGTAGTTTTATTGGAGGCCATTTTTATTGCAGACTTGCAGAGCTTTTACTAGAAAAATGCATGACAATTAAAAGGAAGTTTACATTACTCAAAGAAAGGCATCCCAATACAAGCATGGTCCTTGTTCCAACCCCCATGTATTCACTGCATATAACATTTCTAATATGGATTAAATCGAACAAAAAGTAGGTTACTACTTTGTCCGGCATAACCCAGTAACACACCATTATGCTAGGCAGGATAAACGATACTGACAAAGTGGGATATAGGATTGAAAAAAGGTTTATCCCAAGGCCTTCTAAGGCACAGAGATGTTTCTAGGGGAAAGGGGGAGGACCATCAGGGATGCTTATTTCCTTAAACCCGATAGAACAGGAGTTCAGATTCTAGCAGTTAATCGAGATATACCTAGGTATATTAACTGCAAATCTGGTAGGGAGCAGCTACATATCTGCGGTGTAATAATGAGTTACCCATTACTCTTACATCGTAGTAAATGCTTATAAACACTAAGTATTTATCTTAACGCAACTATAACGTTGCCTTACGATTGTCAAGTTTGCAAGAGTTAAGGTCCTAGAGCGATATTAACTCAGCTACGTTGTACATACTACATATTTAACCTAGGCAAATGACGTTGAACACAATCCATCCCCTTTTCCATGCCATTCCTCATACCGGCCACCTCCTTAGGCATGTATTGTCCCCGCCCCACTGCAAACTATCGAACTGTTCGAATTCCCCATATGCCTGGGCAAGGCAAAAGAGAAAGTCGTTCAAGGCCAGAAAACCTCCCGGACTCAGCAATCCCGCCCAATTCTCCCCTGACACCGGCGGTGGATTTTGGTAGTCCCATAGGCGGTGGGGTAGGTGAGGTGGGACGGCAGGGGCTAGGGCCCCAGCGCAGAGGGGCTTGTCTCGTCCCCGTTTGAAAGGCAGGAGGAAGGGGAAAAGAAACAACAACAATAATAATCACAATAACAACAAAACCCCCGTGCCACCCCCACCAGAAAAAGCAGGCGGCCCTGCGGAGGCCTGCTGGGGGAGGCTGCGCCTCGGGCCTGTGGTGGGCGCACG